TGAAAAATTTTACAAAATTCTATTCATTCTTTATCATATAATATATATACAAATTTAAAAATTCTGAATATTTATGACGACCACTGTATTATCAAGTAGTTTAATTAGTAAAATCAATCTCTAATATATTAATTAAATATAAATTATATTATGTATTCTGAAAATTAATTATTTAAATATAATTAAAAATCTTGAGTAAATAATTAACAAGAATATAATGATATAAATAGCAGAAGTAATGCTCAGAATTTATTAGAGAAAGCTTTATGATCAAGAATATTAGTATCAATATTTTGCTTGTACTCTTCTTCTTTTAATAATAAATCTGAAATGAAGCCAATAGTGAATCTGACAATGAATCTAGTAACAAATCTTTAAAATGCTATTATTTTGGATTACTTGATAACTAAACTAAATGAATTTGATTGTTATCTTAAATTATTCCAAGCTCCAACTGAAAAAATAATCCTTTAGAGTGATCTCAATTCAATATTTTTCCTTCAATAGATAATATAAAAAGTGAAATAAATAATAAGTCAAATGAAATAACTAGAGAAGTAAAAAAATATTCATGTGTAATAAAACGTTATTGTCAGCTGATAAACTATATTGTATCAATCTATTGACAGCACGCCAATTTAATATAAATTATGAAATGCTCTAAGCCATGTGCCAATGATCTTTTGATGGGAAAGTCCTTACGGGAATATTATAAAAAGATGGGATATTGAGTGACATCATAATTTGTACTTGGATATGATTCAAGGGTTGCATAATGAAAAAATACTTTTATTTAGAAAATTGAGTGATAGATTTAAAAGAATTTACAACTTAAATATAAATAAGTTTAATTCTAAGTATTATCGTAATATTCAGCAATTCTATTTATTCTATAATACACACTTCTTACAAGAAACCCAACATTTAATATAATCAATTTTGCAGCAAATTACGGTATAACGGTAATATATTCATATTCATAATCATAAGTAATGCTATTTGTTTATATGTAAGATTCCAAAAGTATGGGTATTATAATCAGAGGATACTGTTCATAATAGGGTATTGTATGTTCATCAAACTTCCGCACCATAAATAAAATGTACCTCGATATCCAGTAATTCGAGCTAAAATACGACCATTGATTCAACTATTCGAGGCGACTCGAATGGGACGTCGGGATATTGCGTGGAAGCTTTGAAAAGCGATTCGGAAATTTTAGGATACTTTTGCGAACTACTATACCTTTAAAAGAGAAAAAGAAAGCTATGTGTTAAATAAACTTCAATCTCTTTCAGAACTGCTATCGATATCTCAGTCTGTTCAGCACATTTCTCCAAACTCTCGACAGCATTAGTATGATTATTGATTGCAGTAATTTTCCTTTGAAACCCTTTGATTCCGAAAAAATTTAGCGTATATAACCATATCGTTTTTATCAATGAAACCATTTTTCTCAGAAACAGTCTTCACCTGTTCTTTTGATACATGCCATCGTTCACGTTATTAGAAGTGAGTTACATTGGCTCTCCGAGGGGTACTTGATACAACATACGGAGCAGCGATCTTATTTGTAATGCAGAGTTTTGAACTTGTCTACATCAGTGATATTCCCATTTTTGCAACGAAACATTTTCTGTATTATATATGCGTTTTCACTATAACTGAGTTTTTCGAACGCACGTGATTTCAAGACATTAAAGGATGCAAAAAAGTTTGAAATGTTGCAATTATGCTCCAAGAAGGGCTATATGCATGGATTTGTTTTAATAATACGGAAAATTTCATAATCGAGCTCTCCATGCAGGCACTTGCCATTAGCCAAGACCATATATGCATATGTGCATGTTGATGCTAGGTAGAATAGGCTCATCTATATGAACGTTCCTTTGAACTGTTTTATGCGTCATTATAACATGTAGTGCCTTTTTAAAATGCTGTTGAGTCACTTCTGATATATGTTTATATATAAGCTTGGTAAAACACATTAATCTGCTGTCGTTATAGTTGATCTTGTTTAAATCGGAATGTTGTTTTCGATGTTTAGACGTCTGCGAGAGTTTCATATTGTCAATAGTAGTCGAACAATGGGGTCGATTCCATGCAAATTCGGACGCTCTAACGGAGAAGCTACCACTGGTTGAACAGGGTAGGTTTCACCTTATGTAAAACCAGGGCTGAATAATACAAAATTACAATTTACCCTTGTTTTTGCCCAATTTTCGAAGAACAATAAAGTCACCGAAAATCGAGTTTTTTACGCAAATCCAGGCTGAGTGACTGAGAAAAAAATACTCGGCATGCAATTTTGGGTATAATCTTATAAAACAAACAAAACGAACAAACAACAACAAACAACAACAAACAACAAACTGGTATAAACCGGTATACTTATCGAGCATGTATACCTATTGACCGGCGTAAAGCCTACAAAAGCACATATACTAATACTACATGGCAGTGTAACCAAAAGCAAATACATTTAATTTACCATAGTTTTGACATGATAAACTTGAAACTTGCCATCGGTCAAAATCCATATTAAATATGGATTAATTTTTCAAAAGTTGCATTTCCGTACCTGTTTTTACCGGTACCTTAGACCACAGGTGAAACCTCTTGTTCGATCAGCGATACGACGATCCGTTTTCTTGAAGAGTCGGCATTTATAAGAAAATTATAAACTGTAGATGGTGACAGTCCCATTCATCAGAAAAACATATCTTTGCCTAATGCTTTCACACTTAGTGATAAGTTCGAATACTGTTGAAACGCTTGTCAAATTTTGATGCATTCTTCTGAAACTGGAACAATGTGTACTTAAACAAGGAGTGGAAATTCGGTGACCACCTATTCCGAAAGGAGATATAAGGGTTTTAAGTTCTGATTGAATTTTCCTCTAGCCATAGTATTTTCTCTGACTAGCCATCCTTCCAAAAGTACGCGTAATTGAGTAGCATCTTGAAAGAAGTTTTACACATTCAGCAAGTTGTTTAAGGATGATTCTAGTCATGTTATAGTACCTTACTATTTCTTGACGAAATTTTTATAACATCTTTACGTGCATATCATGTACATATATACGCAAAATTCTTCATTCCATGACAAAAATCTTGTTGTTTGTTTTACGAAAGTCATATGATTTTACGATACAACAGATTATTCAATTAAATATCAGATATTAAAATAATAACGGAACATGGCACCTTAGAGAACATTAATTCAAAATTGTTTCTTTCCTTTGTGGTCGATAAACGGAATTAAATTGTTTCCACATGTTTTGACCAAGTATATGATTGAATGAGAATTTTGCAAACGATTCACCACTCGGTGATACAAAATGATTAAATCCGCTGATTTTTCTTCTAATAAACTTTTTCAAAACCGTTCCATCAATTAAGAATTCATGTACATGTTTCTTGTGCGAATTCTATTTGCTAGAATGGCAGATCCCAAACATTTCAAAAGGTATCTCGTGATAGCACCTGGAATAACTATGCATATCTCCGAGGTCTTTATCGTTATTGACACCCACTTTCCTAAATTACACCGTTTAATTGTCATTTTCATAACGTAAGCACGAATAATATTCTCATGCTTTCCGTGTTTTAAAAAAAAATTTATTTATGCATGTACGACACGAATTCCTGCACGAATTTATGTGATTAGGTTGTGTAACAAAAACCATATAATAGATAATGCCAAACATGGGCGATGTCATTTCTGGAAACACAACACAACCTTATACCACACTCTAAAATAACAATAGTGATAGTTTCTTTATCCTCTTGGCATGAATAATTTTTTTATTCCTGGATACGCAGGGATGTGAAAAGAAATACTAGCTTTATTAGGAAAATTCGATAAGCAAGATAGTACAGTCTGACAAAAAATAATGGTAAATAAATAAACATCGTAGAGTTTATTCAATCGATACACTCATATTTATATAAACTTGTTTCTCCTTTTAAAAAAAAGCCCGCATACAATAGCGATAGCGTTTTCTATCAGCTTTGATTTTTCTAACTTCCTTACTATCTATCATTTTTATTTTATTTTTTTTTTAGATTATTTGTCTTCATCAAAAAAATTTTGGTCGGGGTATATCCAAATAAAGCTTCATCCCGCGCATTATATATTATTAAAAAACACGTTAAAAATTTTACTAATCGCCATAAAAACGTTGTGTTTTGCGTAGTTTCAGAGTTAATAATAGATCTGTTTGCGTAGTTTTCACTTAATAAAGGTTCGTACTCCCAACTTAATTGGGTGGAGGTTTTTGCATTTGCTTCTCGTTAACGCCTCTTCTTACTCAAAAAACTTTTCAATTATCTTTGTTTCACTACGTTTGCATTTTTATTGGTCTAATTACATCGAAAACTTGAAATTAAAAACAGATTTTTATAAATAGCGAAGAATTATTTTTTTATTTTTCTATAAAATTTTAAGATAATGTCAACACATTCTGAGCATTTAACAGCAAGAGGAGATACACCATCAGCACAAACAATCTTTGTCACTAGTAATAATAGCGACAACAGTAGTATTAATAGTAGTAATTCCTCAATCACTACACCTTCAAAAAATCGACCACCACCAAGCGCCTATATAAAATCTCACAAAAACATTACATTCTCATATGCAAGTAACGCGGCAACCTTCCAACACGGTCAATTAGGTGACACAGACACGTATCTTGTCGGTACTGTGCACCTGAATTATGGCCAACCACGTCAGATTCGAAGCGTTATATTGCATTTAAGAGGCGCGGAAAAAACTTCATGGTATAAAGCACAAGCGAGATCAAAAGCATTGTACGTGGGTGAACATATTCTCGTGGATAATACTTTCAAGATTTGGGAAGCAGAAGATCAACGAGAAATTCAAACTCTTGATGTTCCTTTCAAAGTTAAACTTCCATATAATCTACCGGAGACCATAAATACTGATATCGGCACTGTGAATTATGTCCTTCGTGCTACTGTTAATCGCAAGGGGACCATGGTGATGGCAAATAACCAAATCGTCGAGGTTAATTGTCCTTTGAAAAAGACCTTGGCCATAGATAATCAGAACAATCCCAATTACAAGCTACGTGGCGAATCTCGTAGTGGTCTCGATTACACTTTTCTTTTACCGCCGAATAAAAGTCTTAATCTTGGAACCTATGTCACGATTCCAATGCGCATCAGATTTCTTAAACCTGGTATTAGTGTTGAGAGAGTGGAAATTCAATTAAAGACTTGCATGGATTTCCGGTGTAATAATCCAAATGAAACACGTCATATAAAGGAACCAGCTGCTGCACTAATCGTTCCACGTCAAGAAATTCGGTATGAACAACCAACCTCAAAAGATTATGATGGCGAATGCCATCACACAATCAACTTGTTCATTCCGAGAAGTGTACAACCAACTTATTCTGGTCGATTTATCAGTATCACTCATCAACTTCAAATTAAATTTTGTTTATGGGGTGCTGATATGGATTTTCAAGTGGAAGAAGGTGTACGAGTTGCAAATATCCTGGAGAAACATCCGGTTACGAGTGAAAATCAAGTCCATCTACCTGCTCACCCACCACCTGCAACTACTGCAAATAATCCACCTACATCAAATCCAGCTATTTTGCAGAATCATCTGGCTGCTAATATGCCACCACCACCTCCCCCTATAGCTGCTGGACACAGGCCAATGGAGAATGTGTACGGAATGTATCCAGTTTCGTCAACGAGCGTTTATAATCCTCAGATTCCTCTTGCTGGCGAAGCGTCAATGGATCCACGTGATTTTAAACTACGTGGAATTGATCCTCGCTTTCTTGCTTATGGACCTTTGACTGATAGTCGCTTGTATCAAGGTAATCAGCATGCAATGCAACAATCCTTGCAACATGCACATTATCAGCAACAGCTGCAGGCTCAACAGCTGCAGGCTCAGCATCCACGGGATGGTGAGAGAAGACCTTCTCAATCAACTATGGATCTACCACCACCACCATTTCCATACGACGGGTATGCTGCTACTCATCTCAAAAATCAGTTCACTAATAACCAATCATTTTTTCTTCATAATCATCCATCATTGTTATCTCATTCTAAAAATGCATATGACGATATACCTACCCTTGATGCTATCATCCAATATCGGCAAAATCTCGTTGCCCTTAATAAAAAACTTAATAATAATAGACCTGCCGCTCCAAAAACCCCCCCGGTTCATCCTCCTCCTCCCGTCTCCCCAATCACGAGTATATTGGCTAATACGATTGTTCCCCCTGGTAGTGAGCTAACTGGTAACAATGAAAAATCACCACCTTATCAACCTTATCAAACCCCGCTCTCACCACCACCTTATCGTCAGCCGCAATTACAATCACAGTCACAATCACAAGCTCATCAATATGTTGATTCAAGCACTGTTTATGCTTATGATTTCGATGATTAATTTATTGATTTGGTGATTGTGGCTAAAATATTGGAAGGGGCTGGTTAAAGCAGCGAAAGTGTTAAAAAATGAGTTGGAGAGTATTTGCATTATTTATGAAAATTTTCTGTTGATTTTTTTTTGCATGAAATTCTTGTCCTTTGTTATTTATTTCACCTTTTCATTCAATCTATGCAAGCATTCCCTCAAATTTATGCGCATTCACCCACTTCTCTCGATTCGAACACTGGCGCATTCTCAAATCTCAAATTTATTTCACGCTCATCAATCAATGTTTTCCGATCCTTTTATTCCCTTCCACCAAAAACGTAACTTAAGCATTAGATTTTCCTTTTCAAAATGCCTTTCTTGGCATGCACACAAATTTCGATACATATGTTTCTATCATCAACACTATATTTCTCTTATCATCATGGTCAATTTTTGTGTTTGAAATTCTTTGTACATAATGATTATAACTGTGTTGAATTTTGTATTTTTCGAATTTTACATATTTGCATACATAATTTTATACAAACAAATCTTTTTATTTTGTTCACATATAAGGATATAAATTACTATACGCGATTTTATGAAAATCTCATTGGAAATAAATGACCTATATTAATATGTGCGTTCACTGAATCAATTTTAAAATTAACTTGTTAACGTTAACACTTTACCTGGGGCATCCAGACGATGGGGTCGAGCCAATATACTGATGCTCATGTACAAATAACTTATCGTTATCAGTTGGCTATAAACGGAGCTTGTGAGACGGACTCCTCGTAATTTGTAATCCTGTATGCGACGCCTTGAATATATTGTTACATGTGTCGCGAATTCTTGGTTACCAATTATGTGAAACTTTCTATTTCGAATGGGAGGGAATCCTTTTTTTTTCTTTCGTTTTTATCGCGGCAAACTCCATGAACAATAAGTTATATACATGTAGCAACCACCTTGTCTTCCAATTGTTTCAGCTTTAATTCTCCCATTTGTTCAAAAATTCACCTTAGCAACCCTTGCAGTTTTTAAGATAATGGGGTTGGTAACATTGTGGATTCTATAATTAGTTTCGGTCTTCGGAATAACATTTCTATGGATCAAAAAATTATGTATTACCGTTACCATAAACTGGCTTGAATAATTTTTAGACACAGCACAGCGTTCGATTCGCAAAAAGTAATCTGTTGCTGTGAGGTTTTTTGTGAGCTTGAAAAATTGGACGGAAAATATTTCGGAGATACATTACACACAGTATATACAGTACATAAAGAAACCGCATGCATATATAATTCAGGTTGCTATTAAAAAAAAAGCACTAAGAATTATTTATGAAAAGTGTCATACATGTGTAAAGTATACAGATACATGTATTATTCTTAGTCGATACCATTCGGAAAACCGAATTGTGTCAATTCGAAAAATCTCTAAACTTGCCAGTTCTAGAACCAAATTTAGAACTGAATTGGCGTACGTAAATGCCATAAACGCGAATTATTCATGGCGTAATATCCTTTCAATTATTACGCCTTAGATTTAGCATTGCCTAGATTGAATCCTTTTTTAGCAATAACAAAACCTCTTTGTAAGGCTGCATGGTTATATAAAAATAAATTCACTATCTATAACGAAGTATATATGTTCTATATGACAATTTCAAAAATTTCGTTATAAAGTATATAGTGTTGCTATAAAGAGGTTTGACTGTATCAAATATCTTATGAAGCCGCATTAATAAATAAACAATGTTCTGCATGCGAGATGGGTAGCCCCTTTTTTTTGATCGTCATTTATGATTAACATCATTCTGAATACATGTATTATCGATAGTATTGAATGAAAATCGTTATTATTTACGTGCCCATGATAGGTAATACGCAGTGAAATTGTTGAATGAATTGACCCGTTTCGCGGTGCACCAATCAAATAACGAAAAACTATCATTGCTTCTAATTTCTTAATAAAGACACAGATAAGATAATGAATTTGCAATTGATCAAGTTAAAATAGTAATTATCATACATGTTAATTATCATATGAGACATTACCAAAGACATATTGCCAATTGACAGAAACTAATACTATATAAAAAAATTCAAATATTGAGCAATTATAAGCTTATTATCACGATTTCTGACATCTTTTTTAGAATGGCACGGTCTTATAGTGATTCGGTTAATATATGTAGGCTGAGACCTTGGTCTTAGCATAGCAAGTCTATTTAAAGATTTATAATCAAAAACCGTCCGTCCTATATCGATATTGATTCATATATTATACAATATAATATATTATACACGTACTATACATGTATACAAAGACAATAAATTGCTACATTATTATTATACTGCATATGTTTACAGATTCTTTCATTATTTTATACTAGTTTCAAGAATGTGTATTATCGTTATTACATCTTTGTGTATTTTGTTTTCTAGAATTGCGTCCTTTAAATACTCGATAAATACCATGATATTATTTTTATCTTTTATATCGATATTTTTCTCATTGTCACGAGGAAAAGATCTTAATTAAGAAAATGGTTATCAAGACTGGACCTTAAAAATGTATTGAAATCTTTGTAACATAATTGTCTTCTCTTCAATGGTGGTGTTAGCGAAATTTGTCACTCGTAGAACAAATACATGTAATTTGACAAAAAGAAAAAGAGAATGATACATAACATATTTTGATTCTTGAAATTTTGAGCCGTTACCACTACCATTATATTATTATGATTTTTATGATACTATAATTATTAAATTTCAAGCTATTAGTAAAAGTAATATAGCACTGACAGATATTCTAGAATTTAAATATAATAAAAAATCACCTGAATTTTCTTATCAGAACGAGTGAGATATTTTTCATATATGAAAGAAAATACAGTTCTTTAATTCTGAAAGAAGTTTTTAATAAACTGTTATACAAGCATACACACCCCTACAATATATTACCGGAAATCCTAAAAACGAATCTGCCACTTTGAAATCCAATATCTCAAAATTCAATGATCCAATTTAAATGAAAATACTCCATTAAATTTGTCCCGACTCCAGAAATCTTATGGTAATATCTTTATTTAAATGAGATCACTGGATTATGAGAAATTGGGTTCCAAAATGATAGTTTCATTTTTGAAATTTCCGGTAATATATTGTAGGGGTGTGTATTGATATTGTATTAATAAATGTAAGCTAATTTAGCTTTTTGATAAAAAACCTAGTTTGGAAATTAAAAACTATATACAAACTAATATTTGAATCACTAAATATAGAATAAAAATAATAAATAATAATTTGTTTTTGTTCAAAATCAAAAAATATTTACTATTGCTACTATATAATATTGATTTTCTTGTTTTTATTTTATCTGATGTTTTTATTTTATCTGATGATTTATTTTATTGATTTATCTGATAAATTATTAATAATTAATTTAATAAATTATTTTGTGTGAAAATCTAAAAATAACTAAAAAAAGACAAATCAAAATGTATTTTAAATACTGATTTTATAATCAACTTATTTAAAAATTCTTTATAAAATTCCATTTAATCCTTTCAAATTAGTATAATTCATGAATTTGATTAATAATTAAGTTCTCAATTAGAAATATAAAATAATTATTAATATTAATAATTAAAACTTTTATTATTAAAATTCTTAGAATTTGAAATCAGTTTTATTTTACTAATTAGTTTTAATAAATTTCTAAATTATAATTCAATTTTATTAGATTTAATTCAAATTAATTAATTGATTTAGCTTTAATTTAATTATATTAAATTTAATTTTAATTATAATTTTTGATCTATTATTATTTAATTTTTATTTATCTTTATCTTAAGAAAATTAAAAAATTAAATATCAGATTTAATTTTAGATTATACTTATTATTAACAAATTTTTAAAAAGAATTTATTAGAAATATTATTTAATTTTTAATTTAATTATTTATATTCTTGTTTTTATAAGATAATTAAATTTTATAAAGTTAACATTAAAATATTTATTAAAATATATCTTTTCTTAATAATAAATATTATTTATTATGATTATAAACTAATTTTTGTAATTTTACTTAAATATTATTTAAATAATAATAAATTAAAGAAATAATAAAAAAATTTAAATATATATAATAATAATAAAAATATAATATTAATTTATAATTTTTAAAAAATTATATTTTTATAATTATTTTTGTCAGAAAAATTCATATAGAAGATTAAGATATATAATGATATAGATTGAAATAGAATTCACATAGAAAACTAATTCAAGATAAACAAGATTATTATGTTAAAACTTATTTTTTATTTATTATTGTGTGATTATTATTAAAAATATAAAACAGAAATAGTATTTTTAAATAATAATTTAATATTATATAGAATTAATAATATAATAAATAAAAATCAATAATAAATAATACTTATTTTAGAAGATATTTATTAATAAATAAATAAAGAAATAAATAATTATAAAAAAATATATAAATATAGTAATATACTAGCTAAATTAGTAGAACAAGAGAAAAGAAAAATTCTATTAAGAAAACTATCTATAACTAAAATAGCTTAAATATACTATATGACTTTATAAGATAATTTTTTGTGATGTGATATTATGTATTGCATAATATATAATGCAGTAATAATTTACAAGAGAAAATATAATTTGTTATATATTTAAATAAATAATTTTAAGACTCAAAAACTGTAAAATAATTAAAAATAAATTATTAAAGTTATTTTTATAAAATTATATAATTTAAATTAAAATTTTTTAATTAATAAAAATTTTTATAATAATTAAAATATAATTTTACTTTAATAATTAATAAAAAAGATTTTATTTATAAAATTATTTTATTTATAAATATTTAACTTGATTATTAAAGTTATTTTTATAAAATTAAATAATTTAAATTAAAATTTTTTAATTAATAAAAATTTTTATAATTATTAAAATATAATTTTACTTTATTAATTAATAAAAAAAATTTATATTTATAAAATTATTCTATTTATAAATATTTAACTTGATTAGATTTTTTTATATTTTATTAAATAAATTTATAATAATTAATAAAAAAGATTTATATTTATAAAATTATTTTATTTATAAATATTTAATTTGATTAAATTTTTTTATATTTTAGTAAATAAATTTATAATTAATAATTTAATTAAAATAAAAATTTATAAATAGATTAATTTTATAAAGTAGATTTTTTTTATTAATTTATTAAATTAGATTTTTGTCTTTATTATTATAAAAATTTTTGCTAATTTAAATTTTGATTTATATTACTTAATTTTATAAAAAACTTTAATAATTTATTTTTAAATAATTTAAAGTTTTTTACATATTTAAAATTTTTAAAATAATATATTAATTATTTATTAAATAAATATTAATAAAGATATAATTTTTTAAATTATAACTAATATTATGTTTTTTATTATTATTGTATATATAATTAAAAATTAATATTAATAAAGATATAATTTTTTAAAATTATAACTAATATTATGTTTTTTATTATTATTGTATATATAATTAAAAATTAAAATTTAAGATTTATTTAAATATCTAGAATAAAATATATTAGAGTTTTATCTTGTTTAAAATAATTTAATTAAAAATTTTTTATTTATTAAAAATTTAATTATTAAATATTAAAAGTATTTTTAGAAAAAGATTTTATTATAATAATATTAAAATTTAAAACTAAATATATTTTAAATTTCAATATAATTTGAATTTTATTCTAACTTTAATAGTAAAATATATTTCAAGCTCTAAATAATTTTTTACAAATAATTTTGAAAAAAAGTTAATATTTCTATTAATATAAAAATAAGATTATCAAAATCAAGCTAAAATATTAATTTATAAGAAAATATAGTATTAATATTATTCAAATATCTAATTTTTAATATATTTTACTCTTTTAAAACTTTTTAATAATTTATTATAAATAATATAATTAATTTTATAAAAATATATAAGTCAATTAAATTGCAAATTTGAATTATATTATTTATGTTAGATTTAGTAACATATTTTATTACTTATTTATTTATTTATTTATTAAAAAAAGATCAGAAAGTTTAGATAAAGATTAAAGAATAAAACTAATAGATATATATAATTTTATTTAATAATATATATAATTATTCTTAACTATTGCAAGCAAAATTATGAGGATAAAGAAACTAGATAAGAATTTTATTATTTAAACTTTATTTTATTATTATTTTTATATTTTAATTAAAAAATCCAATAGTTAGATTTGCTATTAATAATAATGACTTTTTCACTTTCATAAAAGAAAGAAATTTGATGATTTTCCAAGTAATATGCCTCCGAAGATTTTCATTAACAAATCATGACATTTATGGATCATGTTGATATGCTATACAGTCACCGGCGAAAATAATGGTGGCGAACATTTTCGCCTATATTTTAACAATGGAGCGTCCAAAAATTTATAGATATACTCTTTAGAATATTACAAACAAGATTCTCTAATAGTACAAGGCATGTTAGCTCAATAAAATTTTGCGGAATTTTGCGTCAAATGTGGTGGATTAGGTATTTACATAAAATAACTTTGAAAAAAAATTATTTAAAAATATTTTTAATAAGTAAATTTGAAAATATTTTTGTAAAAATATATTTAAGATATAAAGGATATATTTATAAGTTAAAAAAATTTTTTATTGCATATTTATTTAATAAATACCAGTTAAAAAAAGGCTTTATTTGATGAATTTTATAATAAATCATAGTAAAAATCCATTTTTACTAGATTTTACTATAATTTCTTATAAAAATTATTAAAATAAAGCCTTTTTTTAACTGGTATTTATTAAATAAATATGCAATGAAAATTTTTTAAACTTACAAATATATTCTTTATATCTTAATATACATTTTTACAAAAATATTTTCAAAATTACTTATTAAAAATATTTTTAAATAATTTCTTTTTCAAAGTTATTTCATGTAAACACCTAATCCACCACATTTGACGCAAAATTCCGCAAAATTTTATTAAGCTAACATGCCTTGTGCTATTAGAGAATTTTGTTCGTAATATCCTAAAGAATATATCTACATATTTTCATGAGTTTTGACGCTTCATTGTTAAAATATAGGCGAAAACGTTCACCGCCATTATTTTCGCCGGGGACTGTAGACACTGGACGATAAGCTAAATTATATGGAATTTTTTATAATAAAAAAAAATATACCATTATGTTGGAATCAATGAGGCGATTGATTGATTACTGATTCGCAAACAAATATCATATCAAAAAAAATGTTGCTCCAGCACAGCTTACTCTTGATAAGAGTAACGATTCAGATTCTGAGCGAAATTTTCTTCCAGTATTTAGAGATAATATTCATATGGATTACACGCAAAATTGAGGTAAACATTATGAAATTAATCCCAACTTCAGTCACATCTCCATATAATCAAACTCTTTATGATTATATGGCAGTCAAAATTTCCTGCATTTCATAATAATTGGGATCGGGAAAACCTGTGTTTGTATGGAGTGTGACTATATAGAGGTATGACTGAACTCCATTATATGTATCATATACAAGATGTATATAAATGACATCACTCACTAATGGTTGTTCAGCTTAGAGTTTGGAGCTGGATATATTTTCAATATGAATAAACCGGATTATATTCGTAATATTCACATTAAAAATATATCCGGTACCAAACTGTTACAATTTCATACACCAACATTTCCAAAGCTATAAATCTCCGCAGCGTTGTGTATGTCTTTCAATTTAGCACCAATAAGAGGCATTCCACAAATTTCTTGGGCAGACTTTACTATAATTGTTGGAATGCTAAGTCCAGATTCAGCAGTTTGAACATATACAAGCACTAATTTATTTCCAGGATGAAAACCACGATGCACAAATTTCTTTGTGTAAATTTGTTCAGATTATTAATAATATTAGATAAATGGTAGAATTTTTCAATCCAGGTTAAATAGGTGGTTTAACGATATTAGCCAATATTGAACGTGTTTTTTTCGCAATAACACGTGATATTGATGACGATACTAGTTGCACAAAATATTTGATTTGATTTTATTAAATTGTGTAATGATTTCAACACAATTCTCTTCGTTTAAATTTATATTCTTCATGATCCAATGATCCATCCTTATAAAAATCTCTGGTTGTTATGAGATATTCAAAGTTGGTAAGTTTTTCAAAGGAATTGATTCGAATTTCCATATTTTTTTGAATTTTGTTGCATTCTTTATTATCGATATCTTTATCTCTGCTAGACCATAAATTCGTCTGTGGTGTTTAATACATGCCAAACAGAGTCAATTGGTTTGACATTTAATACATTTACTACAATCATGAGTAATTGATCCCATCTTTGAGTTCACTCTATAAAATGCGTTTATATGAGCATGGATTTTGAAGCGATAACGATAGTAAAACAAATGAGAAAATCGTTCAATTATGTGATGTACGTTATTTAATTATTTTATCATGTATCCACAATCCGACTGACAACCGTATTTTCAGAAATTCAATCATATACAAAATATGGCACACATTGTGCATGTACATGTACTATCAATTCTCTAATGGCAAGGCATAACACCATTTTTCATAAATCTCTTTTTTTCGAATGCCGTTCCTTTTAGCAAAAGTAGTACATTTGATTTTTATTAAAAAAGTTTTCATGCTAAATATGTGTGATTTGGGGGTAACAATAAGAAATTAAATACATGTAATAGAAAAGCAGTCAATACGTTGACTTGATCATTCACTTATTTCTCTTTATATAACATACCAAATTCTTTCGCTCTATACTTTTACTTGGTCAACAACACCAATGGCTCAACAACCCTATCCTCTGTTTCAAATTTTTTAAATATGATTAGAAATTTATTATTACAAGAAAAATTTGCTCGTTTTCAGGTTCGTCGCATTGTTTTATTTTTGTTCAGATTCTAAAAAAGCTACATAACGATACGCATTAATATTTTATTTGTTTAAGAAAAAAATTCACGAATACATCACAAAAAGCAGGTCAAAAATTTTTTTAGCATACGCATCAGATGAAATTCCTACCCCGGTCGTATTTTTATGGACGTCCAACCTTAATACATGTACATGTAATTAATTATTCAATAGCAGATAGAAGCAATTGTTAATTCAGTATATTAATATGGATTTAGAATCGTAAAACATAAACCATGTTATTTAAGTAATTTTTATTCGTAACGGTAATTGGTAAGCTAATTCTAGTTACCATTGCATAATTGAATGAATTATAATTTAATCTTGCGACCCGATATCTATATTTTATCCTCTTAGTATTATCTAATTATCATTGCATTATTGAACTAATTTTACATTTTCGACCTGGTATTTAAATGTTGTGTTTTTAGCTTTTTTTAACATTGCATTTTCTTCATTTTCTTTATATTCATTGATGGCGAGAGCTCTCTTTGCAATATCAGTCTTTGCATTAGCCACTCTTTCCAAATATTCACAGCGTTTTCTCGCTAATTTAACAGCGGTTGGCGCATCAGGTATAAGATATGAAAGTAAAAATTTGACGAGGAAAACAATGTTCTAAAGACAAATGGTTATTATTAATCACAAGATCATAAAGCAATTTATGAAATATCATTTTAAAAATTTTTTTTACCTCAAATATTAAAATAAAGCCAAGACGAACATTAAGTAAGGACGAATCATCATTTCCAACATACTTTTTAAATACACTTTGCATATAATTTGAATGAAATGCTAAAATCGAAGCATTAGTGAGGACAGCAAAGATCGAAATCATGTAAATAATATTATCCCACATTCCAATAGATTGTGCAAGTGAGCTGATTGTTCGCCTTTTAAGCTTAAGATACTGTAAATAAAAAATGGGAAACATAGTTAAAATGTATTCATATTGAATTATTAATAATTTAATAGTTGGTCCATATATTATCTACCTTATAACCATCCGTGTGAATCTCAATGATATTATGAAACAAAGCACATAATGGTGCTAAAGGAAAAGCAGCAGCAAAAAGAGCAATAAAACCAAATTGAATAGCTACAATAAACAAAAAAGTATTTGTTAATATACTGTTATCAAATATTTACAAAAAACATACATACCCATTTGCTCATAATCCTCTCTAAGATCATCTTTATCAGTTGGCAACAACTGGTCATCTAGAATCCAAGGATATGATTCATTTGGTTCATCTTTGGAAGATGAAACTTCCACGACTTCTATTTCTTCATTCTGTGCTTTTTTGGTTTCTTCATTGAGCTCATTTTGAGAAGATTTTTTCTTTTTCCAAGAGTTTATAAACTTCTTTTTCCAAGAGTTCATAAACGAATCAAATTTCTTTTTAAACAGTCTAAGAAGGTTATCGTAATGGTAAGTATTTCAAATCTTAAAAAATTTTAAAACTTCTATTTTTATATCAGATACATACGGTAATGCAAGGTCCTCTAACTGACCTACAGTTTGCTTGCCAATAAGAATAACAGCGAGTTGTATAGTAAGCTCTACCATGCAACTATTATATTCACATCCTTCATAATCAGATATGCGAAGAATTTCACCGGCAAACTATACGTAGACCGAATGTTCATGTTCAATTATCGTTATTATTTTCAGAAAATATATAATTAAATGATTTACCTTTTGTTTGACTATTAAAATGTAAAATAGCGCACCATAAAAAATAACGAAATCGAAAAGGTATACTTTTAAAATGTGAGAATCTAGTAATAAGAAAACAAATAAGATTAATTACCATTTTTCAAGTGTATAGGCTAAGAACAGATTGATACCTTCAAAGCTTGTCGCAGTTCTAGGGTTCTCTAACTCAGTAAGTTTTATAGCTAGTCTTTTGTAAGTCTAGAGTATCAAGTAATAAAATTAGCGAGAGATTAAAACCTTTGAATGAAAAAAATTATTTACCGGACTTAAGATAAGGACTACACCTAAATTGATAATACTCGAGATAAAGCTACCCAAAACGCCATATTTTCCAAACAACTTTTTTGAAAGCAATAAAAGGGTTTCAGTTGTCACAATAACAATAAGTATCTGTAATTAACTTTTGCATTAGTTTGTAGCTTTGAATAAATAATTCTCATTAGTTTATACATACCGATACAATAATGAGTATTATCGAAGCGAAACAACATAAAAATCTTTTATGGGACGGAAATACAAGTTCCATCTTATCTGTTATTTTAGACTTTCTACTGACTTTACAGAATAAAATGGCCGTTATATAGAAATTATTATTAAGAGATAATTAATGAGATTAAAAATTTTTACCTGTTCCACGAAAACCAGGACGAGATTGTTCCTAATTAAAGAATAATTAATGAAAGAAAACAAAACCAAAGCATATATAATATGATTTAAAGTTACATTTTTCTTAAAACAGGTGACACCCCAATCATGAGCGAGAGCAGCATTATAACGTTTCCATGATTCCAAAAAACAAGTTGCTAGTAGAAAAGATAAAATCGTAAATTATTAGAAATTTGTTATTTATTATATTAGATATAGCCAAATACTGACCCCAAATCGACATGAAGAAAGCGAATACAACAGTAAATGCATTATCCCAAAGTTTAGTAACTTTTGGAACACCATTACTAAAATTATCTGGGCTATTATGGAAAGAAATATTAGAGATAAAGAAAATAAAGCAAATAAAGCTTCTAAATTAAATAAACTTACGTCGTTGCGAAATCTATAATACCATAGATAATGGTAATGATTCCAAAAATAGAAGCTACAAATAACCATGAAGCATATAAACCTACAAATTATTGATAAGTTAAGCATATATATTTATTAATTTATAACTTTTAAAATATTGATATAATTACCAAGCCATGCAAAATACATTGCTATTTTTTCACCAAAATATTCTCTGATTTCACTTAGGGGTTGTCTTTTTAAACTTTTAATCCAATTATTGAAAAGTTTTGCTCTTAGATTTTCCTTTTTATTATTTTGATCTCTGAATGTTTGATCTTGTATTTCCCCATCATGCAGAGGATAAAAAGCATTATATATATTTTTTTCCATTAAACTATCAAATCCCCAGGATCTTAGACGTAAGGTTTCTGGTACTCCTTCAGGCATAATTCTATTTGCATCGGTTATGAAATAATATGTCTAAATTGATTGCATTATATTAGTTTAAGATATTATAAATGTTAATCAAGTAACGATAAAATTTTTAATATACCAATAAATTGCGGGTTGAACTGTTCCAAAAATGTAATGCAATATCGCTGTACTTTTTGTCTTTATATTTCTCCAATTGATCTGCATTAAAGAAAGATAATCTTTTCTCAAGATTTATTTTATAAACAAAATATGGTGTTATGTTTTGATATAAAAATTCGTAAATGTTGTCAATCAATTTGTTGGTTTTATTGTTGCTATTTTCATGATTTTCCTTGGTTTTATTGTTGTCGTCGTCGTTCTCATTTGGTATTGTTCTTGGCTAAAAGGAAATTTAAAATAACCTTAGTACAACAAAATATTGTACAAGTATTAGTTAAATTAATTACACCTACATCAAGTTCCTTGCTAATACGTATTTCTTCCGCAGCTTCACAGAGTTTCATAAAAGGAGTCCATATTTTAACGTATATAAAATCTCTAGTAATCTCACGCTCAACAAATAAACCTGATAACAAGAGAAGCAACTCGAATTTTCGACGCGCCTGATCTTTAGACTTGAATTCTTCACCTATTTTTATACTCTCATCATCTGTAGAATTTGTAGACCCTTTAGACTCAAATTTGAAGATAAAATCAGGAAATTTATCATCATATAAAATTCGAGCAAGAGCATCGCCAACTTTTGGTCTATTGTTATCTTTTCTGTCATCTAAAAGCAAATATCAAATTTAATAATTCACATATATACTGTAATAATGTCTTATTTTTATCATACCAAATTCATCGATTGCATCTTCCATTGCTTTTGAGGAATTTTCTCTTTTCCATTTAACCATTTCATTAAATAACTTAAGGTTCTCTTTGTCAATCAGGTATAAAATACGTTTTCTGTTGTTATCTAATTGTAATTTAACTTTAAAAGCTCTGTGAAATTCCTACAAATAAATGTTTATGCATATACATTATATTTAAAATGATCATGAAAATGCTAATTAAAGTTGAAAAATTTATAGTATATAATAAGCTTAAACATTACCATCACCGGTATAGTCGCCATTCTCAATAATGACTAAATAAATTATTATGCATTTACGTTGATTTGAATTTGAAAGATCATGAAATGCTTAATTAAAAGTTGGAAGAATTTATAAACATAGAAGTATATAGCAATCTCAACTTTACCTTCGGTGGTGAGTCATCATTATCTCTAGCAATTTGTTCCTAATACATATAATCAGAAATTGCAACTATTAAAGAACTAAAATTTAGAAAATCATAAATACTTACTATTTTAGTCGGCATAGTCACCTTGGCCGTCTAAATAATTAGAATAAATGTTTATGCAAATACGTTAGATTTAAAAGATCATGAAAATGCTTAACGTTAATTAAAGTTGGAAGAATTTATAAACACAGAAGTATATAGTAATCTTAAACATTACCGTCTTGACCGGTATAATCGCCATTGCCTAAATAAATAGTTATGCATTTTACGTTAGATTTAAAAGATCATGAAATGCTTAATTAAAAGTTGGAAGAATTTATAAACACAGAAACAGAAGTATATGGTAATCTTAAACATTACCGGTATTGCCTAAATAAATAGTTATGCATTTTACGTTAGATTTAAAAGATCATGAAATGCTTAATTAGAAGTTGGAAGAATTTATAAACATAGAAGTATATAGCAATCTCAACTTTACCTTCGGTGGTGAGTCATCATTATCGCTAGCAGTTTGTTCCTAATACATATAATCAGAAATTGCAACTATTAAAGAACTAAAATTTAGAAAATCATAAATACTTACTATTTTAGTCGGCATAATCACCTTGGCCGTCTAAATAATTAAAATAAATGTTTATGCATATACGTTAGATTTAAAAGATCATGAAACGCTTAATTTAAAGTTGGAAGAATTTATAAACACAGAAGTATATAGTAATCTTAAACATTACCCTCTCACCCGGTATAGTCGCCATTTTCTAAATTAATGGTTATGCATTTTACGTTAGATTTAAAAGATCATGAAATGCTTAATTAAAAGTTGGAAGAATTTATAAACACAGAAGTATATAGTAATCTTAAACATTACCTTCTCACCCATACTCGCCATTTCCTAAATAAATGGTTATGCATTTTTACGTTAGATTTAAAAGATCATGAAACGCTTAATTAAAAGTTGGAAGAATTTATAAACACAGAAATATATAGTAATCTTAAACATTACCTTCTCATCCGGTATAATCCCCATTTGCTAAATACATGGTTATGCATTTTACATTAGATTTAAAAGATCACTCATGAAATGCTTAATTAAAAGTTGGAAGAATTTATAAACACAGAAGTATATGATAATCTTAACATTACCTTCTCAACCGATTTAATCGCCATTTTCTAAATAAATGGTTATGCATTTTACATTAGATTTAAAAGATCATGAAATGCTTGATTAAAAGAATTTATAAACACAGAAGTATATAGTAATCTGGTATACTCGCCACTAGCTAAATAAATGGTTATGCATTTTACATTAGATTTGAAATGCTTAATTAAAAGAATTTATAATCTTAAACATTACCGGTAAAATCGCCATTTGCTAATGCATTTTATAATAGATTTAAAAGATCATGATATCTTAATTAAAAGTTGGAAGAATTTATCAACACAGAAGTATATAGTAATCTTAACTTTACCTCCGGTGATGAGTCATCATTATCGCTAACAATTTGTTCCTAATACATATAACGATAATCAGAAATTGCAACTATTAAATTAAAATTTGGAAAATCATAAATACTTACTATTTTAGTCGGCATAATCGCCTTAAATAATTAGAATAAATGTATATGCATATCGATATACGTTAGATTTAAAAGATCATGAAAATGCTTAACGTTAATTAAAAGTTGGAAGAATTTATAAACATAGAAGTATATAGCAATCTTAACATTACATCTGCTGAGTCTATAATCACTTTCTAAATAAATGGTTATGCATTTTACGTTAGATTTAAAAGACCATGAAATGCCTAATTAAAAGTTGGAAGAATTTAAAACACAGAAGTATATAGCAATCTTAAATATTACCTCCGGTACAATCGTCTTTATCGAAATAAATAGTTATGCATTTACGTTAGATTTAAAGATCATGACATGCTTCATTAAAAGTTGGAAGAGTTTATAAACACAGAAGTATATAGTAATCTTAAACATTACCTCCGCCTCAACCGGTATAATCGCCATTTTCTAAATAAATGGTTATGCATTTTACGTTAGATTTAAAAGATCATGAAGTGCTTAATTAGAAGTTGGAAGCATTTATAAACACAGAAGTATATAGTAATCTTAAACATTACCTCAACCAGTATATCATCTTTAATCTCAGATGACTATTTAAAATAAATGCGTGAATAAATATTTTATGCTATTGTCATATCAACATCTGAAAAACAAAATTTCATTTTTACGCTGGTATTTAGTGCAGTGGATTTAATTTTATCGTCCATAATAAAATTTTCAAGCAATTGAACTGAAAGCAGTTAAAAAAAAATCTGAAATGAAGGAAATTACGAGTATTTTTATAGCCATCGGTATGCGTACAAGTAAATGTTATCTATGTGAAATTTCTGCACATGTAGGTAACAAGCATGTAGAATACCTGTACCGTATACATGTACTCCCGAAAATAAGCAACCCTCCCCACTTCAGATCGAAAAGTTCGAAAAAGTTGAATAAGCAACCCTTTATTAAAAAATTATTATTTAATATATTAAAATAATTCATTTAATTATTATATTGACTGGCTCAGATATATTTATCAATATTTTCTATTCAGTAACATTAGACTAATTTTTTGTTTGTTTCTCACGCATATAGTCATCAAGGTACCATTTAACTGACCATTGCCTGGTATTTTTTTAAGGAATTTCCAAACTACCCGAATTTAGGCAACACTTAATTTTTCGACCCCAAAATGATGAAGTGAGGTGCTTATTATCGGGTGTACATGTATACGGTGCATGTACAAATAAGCTATTCGTATAAATGTAAAATGTTATTTAACAACTAAAATAAAATTACACGTATAACGTAATTGCATAATGCTATTCAATTATGTACATGTAGAATGCTATTTAATAACCAAAAACAAATTCTGTACACGTAGAATACTACATGTATTCAAAACCAAAAACAATTACACGTACTATACATGTATTACACTAATATGCTACATTAGATTGCTAATACATGTGCATGTAACAAAAGAGCGTGATATCAAAAGTTTGACTTTATTTCACATTCATTTCGAACAATACGTTTGCACAATGAACTCTCTAAGACATCACCTCCCATGCTGTCTTGAGTTTTCTCAATTTGACTTTTAAAGCAAGTTGGCAAAAAATTTAGTGTTAACGAGAGCTGAAGTCATTCAATACTATATCCATTGATAATGATAATGAAAGATATAAATATAATTAAAACTCTCTTAGTGCAAATCGTCGGAAATCATAGAAAAATCAAATATAATGTAAGTTTAAAGAAAAACTGCGTTTACAAGGGTAATTGCTTGATGCTTCAAATGCTTGGACCAAATAGCGTTTATGTAAATATAATATTTAGGGAGATAGCATTTAGAGAGTCCTGTTTGTAAACAAGAAATAAAATAAAATAAATAAATAAATGCAAATAATATATAATAAGTAAATTGAAATCAAAAGCATTAATTAAATAACAGAATTAATAAATATCCATCGAAAACAATTTAACAAATGTTAGGCAAGATTGGAATCAATTCTCAAACTTTATTAGTATAGACCGTTTAATTTATTAATAGTTCATGTAAAGTTATTCAAATTTGATTCTGACCATTTTTGGATTTTAAATACATGTACATGTAACATAACATTAACGTTAAATATACATATACATGTACATGTACATACGTCATGGTGAAACCCTAATAGATAATAATGGTCCAAATCCCATACGTGTACATTAACGTTTAACGTTAAAGTTATCGTTATGTAACATCAGAATAAGTCCTATTTGATACAGAACATATAGTAAATCCTTTATATCAACAGTCTGTTAACGAATCCGTTATACATGTATTTATTATAGACTGTTCTGGACCTCAATCCGCTATAAATTAGTGTCCGTTATAATGATCGTCCATTATATCGACGGTGACAGATGTTCAGAATGAAACCATAGATTGATTATTAGACTATATAAAAATATTTTTATTATTATTATAATTCTATATTTAAAATTGAAAAAGTTAATTGCAATTTAATATATGTACAATATATATAAATCCAAGTAGTCTTTTATCATGTAAAAACAAAGTTGAAAATTTTTGACAATAAAGTATACTTCAGATAATTGTATCTGAATAATTAGTCATTTATTTTTGATTTTTTTATTTTGTATTTATAATTTTTAATTATATTTTTATGATATTAATAACTTCTTTTATGACTTTATTTTGTGATAATTATATTAAAAGTGCTAAAACATGATTTCATAAGTATAGTAACTTTAATATTATAAATTTCTTTGTAATTTTATTTTTTTATTATTCTTTTTAATTACATTTTTTTACATTAATTAATTGATAAAGTTCTTAATTTGTAGTTAAAGAGATTTTTTCTTAAGATATCACTTCTAAATTCTATTTTATCTAAATATTTGCAGTTAATATTAGAATAATAAGTTTATTATTTAGTTTATTTATAATTTTACTTGAGTAAAAATTAGTATTTTAGAATAATTTATCATAAAATACACAAGTAGTTTCAGCTAAGTGAGTATTTTTTACTATAGTTAGCTTGAGTAATATATCAATACTAGAAATAAGATTGCAAAGAATCTCAGAAAAATATTTGACTGATAAGTATTTTTAATATTTAACTTTAATATAGATTTCTACTATTAAAAATAAATTAAGTATTTAATAATTGATAATTTTATTTCATTCACGCTAGCCTTTTATTACTATTAGTAAGTTTCTAGATCTTAAAGCTGAAAGTTCAGTCTAAATAAGTTTCTAACATAGTTCTTTAAAAAATATCAAATTTTTTATTATGATAAAGAGAAATTATATATAATAAGTAGTCTCAAATTCTAAATAATATCTAAGCAAATACTTTAATATAAACTAATATAATAATATTAATAATTTTTATAACTATATCAAAATAGCTAGAAATTTTAAAAGAAATATTAATTTCTATGATACTTGTATAAATTATATAGTCAAGAGTATTCTAGCTAATATTAATATTAGCAAAAATTATCTTGATATTACTTTTCATCTATTTAATCAAAATAAACTCATAATAAAATAAATAAATTATCAGATTTTTATAATTTAAATACTTTATTAATCAAAACACAAATCTTTTTATAAGATATTATAATAAATATAATATGCTTATCTTCTTGAAATATTCTAAGATTTCTATATATAGCTTTTAAAGAATTATAAAAAAGCTTAATAATTTCTTCTTTATATAATTGATATTTATTATCAATAACTTAAATATTCTTTTCTTAATAGAATTTTAAGAAAACTAAAATTAAATTATATATAAAAGTATTCATAATAATAATATAAGTAGTTAAATTAATAAATTATATATAGAATTAGAAAATTCTTGATATGAATTTTATTAGTTATTTGATATACAATAATATTAACTTTATCTAAAATTATTATATAGAAATAATTTTTATAAAAGTTAAGATAAAAAATATATTTAACTTATATAATAATAAGATCTTACTTATATATCTTTAGATTAGTCATTATTCTATTTTAAATTTAAATTTTTCTAATTCTTTAAGTTTGACTTCAGATTTATTATTAAGTATTTTATGATATAATATTTAAATCTTATATATAAAATTATTTTGTTAATATTTATAAATAAAATAAAATATAATATAATAATTTTAATTTATAAACTTATAATTTTATTATTTAAATAATATTCAAATTTAAAATAAAAATACAAAATAGTATAAACTAATTTATCAAAAAAGAAATGAATATAAAATGCAAATAAATTAATAATAATTAATAATTTAAATTATATATACTTAAAATTAATTTATATCTTTAAAAGATAACTAATTATAATTTAATAATTTAATAATAATTATAAATATAATAATAATAATATAAATAAATAATAAAGCATGAATAAAAATATGAAAAAATATAATTATAAATTTAATTAAAAATATTATTATTTTAAATTTGAAATTATGAAATATATAATAATTATTTATATTAAATCTAATTAATTTAATATATAAATAATCATTTATATATTCAATATAAAATTAATTTTTAAAATATATATTATAAAAGATAATTTATTATATAAATAATATAAAATAAAAATTTAATATTAAAGAAATATAACTTTAATCAAAATTATTATATATCTCTTTATTTAAAGTATAATATTCTTATTATATTCAAGTATATAAATTTACAAGACTTTTTCTTTTCTATAACATATTTTAAATTATTAAGTATATAACAATTTTAATTAAGTTATCTCCCTTTAGATCTCTTTTAGCTTAGATCTTTATTTTGCACTATTTATATAACAGATTAGCTTTGTATTACATTTTTAAAAAGATCATTTTCACTCTGGATATACAGATAATTATTATATAT